CACGCGAGTCGGGTTTCGTAAGTTTCTATTGCGCGCACTGCTGTCCACTGCACATCTTCTGCAGCATCTCAAACTTTCAGCGCTCGTGTAGCTCTCTTGCAACCAGCTTTGTTTCCAGAGTGTCAGGTTGGAAGCCCAGCATATGTTCGTGGCTGTGCATGCTGTTCCCTTACTCTGCATCTCGCTAAGGTGGTCATGGCGCCGAAACGTGCTCGTGCCCAGGCGGAGAAGGTAGCTTTCGGTTAATCTGCTATGCTGCAACGCGGCAGGTTCTGGCCCAGGCACTCGACGACCCGAAGCGCCGTCGCGTGCAGATGCGGGCAGACAATCGTGCCTTGGCGCAGCAGGAGAAGAACCTCAAGAAGCGTCGGGCCCGTCTCATGCAGGCTTGTTTGGCGCGCAGCACTTCTAGTCTCTGCAGTTTTGGTGAAACGCATCTTTTGCAGGCGGCGCGCCAGCTCAGTGACGATGACCTTCTCGTCTTGCTGCTTCAGCCGCCAGGCGACCCTGCTCTAGAGTGACGTGCTCGCGGCGGTCACGTAAGCCGTAGAGAAAGCAGGCAATCCGCCGCCGGCAGTCCCAGCGCCACCCCATGCAGCTGAAGGTGCCACGCCGGGGTCTGTGCCCTGGTCAGGTGGTGCATGTGCCGAGGTGTCCCTCACGTGGTCGTTGCTGCTCCTTTGGAGCGCGTGGAAGGCGCGAGAAAGGCGGGAGGACGCGTTAGTGCCGCCACCTGTCTGCTTAAGCCCAGGCCCCGCCGTGGCCGCTCCTGTGGATCGTTCTGAAGGCGGGAAGTTGTTATCCTGCTCCTCTTGCTTCTTCGTGTTGTCTGCAAAAGACTCATGCCTGTGCTTGCAGGCGATGCTGGAGATGTTCCGGCTAAGGAGGGCCGTGCGCGCCCCAAAACGAGTCGCCGGTCTCGCGTGCGCCTGCCGCTTCCGTCTGAGTGCAAGCTATATATCAGGTGAGGAGATCGAGTCGGACGTGGCCGTGGAGATTGCTGCAGGCGAGGCAGCAGGCCTCAAGCAGTGCCGCAGAGGTGCCTGCATTCTTGGCTTCTGCCTGCGGCCAGATCCTGGGGACGGTGACCGTGCCCGTGGGTCAGGCGTGCTTTTCCGCCCGGGCAGCAGCCGTGTGTTGTGAGTCGTGTGCAGGAGAGGCTGCGATCTCCAGCTCCGAGTGAGGGCGCGCACTGCGCGCAAATGGTGGCAAAGACGGGGTCATTTCAGGGGCTGCAAGAGCAGGTGACTGTGTGGCCGTCTTGGCAGGCCCTGTGTGGTAGTCGCAGTACTGTTTACTCATTCAAGAGCCGATAAGTTCTCGTCTTCGCAGTCCCTTTCGGAACTGGCAAGCAGCTTTGAACTTTGTAACCTCACTGTCCACCATCCTTTTGGTCTCATTCTCATCCTCCTTCCTGCAAGAGTAATTGTCTGCACCATTCTTCAAAGCCAAAGCGGCAGTAGAGGGCTGGCAGCAGAGGCCTTCGTCTTACAGGGGGAGCCAACGCAGTGGATCCAGTTTTTTGGTGGTTTTTTCAAGTTCCAGTAATTTGCTCAGATTTCCAGCCAAAGTGGTTAGAGACCTCAGAGAACTTTCAAACAACGTCTGAAGCTTGGTCTGGAATTTGAGTCTTGGTAAGGATTCACTGGTAAGAGCCTTCTACTTTCTCTACATTTTCACGCTTTCGAACACCCATTTCTGGCAACAGAACAATGCACCAACTGGGTGACTTTGCGCAAATCACAGATAACAGATTAATTCTAATCGAAGATGCACATTTTTCTGTGCAGTCTACAGTTACTACCCTGCAATTACCTTTGCATGTTATTCATATTTTGGTGATTGGAGTTCAATCAATGCAAGGTTAATAAGATTACGTCTTGCGGTAAGCAATGTTGAAATTAAGAATTCAACAATGTGTTGAGTCTTAGGGCCGCCGTCGTATCGAAAAGGGTTGTCTAAATGTCAGATGCATTGGCTCTACTCTTCTTTCTTGTGCGAAATATTCCACTTCATTGCTAAATGCAGATTTTGTTTGGTTCTTTGACCTTCGAATCAATTTTTTTCTAATAGACCGCGCAACTTTGATTCTTACAGTTTTACAGCTGCAATCTCAACCGCTGAACCGACAAATTTTACAAATTGGTTTCCGATAAAGGTGGAGTTTGAACTTGCGCATCAGATTTGAGTTCTTGTTGTAGCACCCTTCCCATCATCTTGTTGCATTCCTGTTATTCTTGCTGCCTTCGTGTGGAGCTGCTCGCGACGAAATTTACAAGGCATCCCGCCCATCCACGTGCCATACTTGTCCGAAATTAAGTTCTTATTGCTTTTTGCTTGGAGTGAACTGTTGATTTAGGTTGATCTCATGGCTGATGTCCTTCAAGCTTGCACAGAACCATGTAGATGCCTATAACTAGAGTACAGCAGCAGTCGGACTTTGCTTCTTCCCTTCACACATGATGTTGGAGAAATGAAACCGCAAATTGTCTTGACCGGTAGTGGACCATCGTCGGTTTTAGTGTCCTGTGCCCAGAACCGACGCATCCAAACCTTTTGCATTTTCAGCTATGCCCAACGCAAGGCATGTCAGCTCAGCTGGATGATGCCACAGTTGATGTCCCAAGATCCTTTCAGAAACCAGTTCAACCTACCGCCTCCGCAGCTGCTTTATCTTGCGCCCCCTAGGGGACGCCCCAACGCTGGTGTGCAGATACTGCACCGGCTTCGTCATGCAATGCTGATGATGAGCTTGCGCATGCCAAGCTGGGCGAATCAACGTCCAATGAGGATGTGGCAGAGTCGTTGTTGCACTTTTTGCTCGATGAATGAAGTGAAACATACTTGCCACCACCATGAGTTGCAATTCAAGCGCGAGTGCCCTTATTTCGTGCTTGCAATGTACGGTGTCCTCAAAGTTTTTTTTTGCGAAGCTGTTTTATGTTTTCTTACCGACGCTGATTTTGTTTGCGCTTGATGCTGAGCTTCAAGCTTCAAGGCTGCCGTGGAAAGTTATCACATTGTGGTACAATGTATCTTGTGCATGTTAGAGCAAGCTATGCTAGCGCAAAGCCTGATTGGTCGAGAAAGTTTGGGAGACCTGAAAGTTCATTTTTTAACTTGGAATGAACCCTCCATGACTGCTTTCAGTGTCCATGCTGGATGGAGGCTTGAGCAGCTAGCTATTGTCTTGTGTGTAAAGTGACACAACTATTCCCACTTCCATTACATATTTGAGACTTGAAAATGGCCTTGCCTTTCACTTGTTTGTTTTCGGCGTCTTTTCCCTTTTTTGTCAAAAAACACCAATTCCAGCCCTGACTGGGCTATCGCTTGGCGAGAGAACACAGTTGTTGCTTTTGCACGTCAGGCACGTAACAACATCCGCTGTGTCAAGCGCAGCAGGATGTTTCCCATCCGTGGGCGCGGGGTGGCGTACGGGGCGCTCGCCGCTGCCGCGAGGCCTTTAGGCGTCGCAAATTTGGGATCCGAAAACTGCTACACCTTTTTTGCCAACCTTTTGCATTACCCTGCCCCTTTAGAGTTCTCGAGTCCTTGTGTAAGGATCCAACGCTGGGCGTGGGCGGGGTGTACATACCAGCAACGAATGCGAGAGATTGCGTCAGCACACGGTGGTATTCGTGTTTCTAGTATTGCTGTTATTCTCAGATATGCAGCGCTGTCGCTCAGCGTCAATCAAATGGTAGCCTCACCATTCTAGTGGTTTTCTCGGGCGTCTCCAGCGCGTGCTTGGCAGATCACCGATTCCGCATAGCAAGACATCTGATGGTAGGCATGTCATCGCATCATCAACATCATGATCTTCATTGCCTTCATCATCATCATCATCATCATCAACACCCTCCTCTTTGTTGCTCCCGTACCCAATCTGCAACTCATCCAGCATTTTTGGGAAGACGCTTGCTTACTTGCAAAGAGAAGGACAAAAACGCTGAGCTAGCTGCATGCATGACCGCTGGGAAAGGGTTGCAAAAGTTGTTTGCGACGTGGGAACCCCTTGGCGGACTTGTTCGGGGAAATTTTTGCCACCTTCACTGTTTCATTGGCTGCTGTCTCAGCGTGTGCAGATCCAATATGATATGATGTATGTAGCATATTTCCGAAGCCAACGGTTTGAAGGACATGTAGTTTGTTGGTTTTGCATGAAATTTGTCGCAAAATGTCAGAATGCGTGTGTGACTGAACTGGAGAGTCAAGTGTCAGCTCTTGCAAAATCTAATACTGTTGCTTTTTGTTGTTCCATGTGCCTGCGAGATCTATCTATTGAGTGGCCGCGCTGTCACGGGGATTGAGGACCGGTCCCTGTTCCACAAAAACAAGCAGACTGAATGCGCAGACTCTGTTGTTAATGTTGTGATTCAGTTCACATGTCCATGTGATGTCACACAGTCCATGTCGGCCTCTTGCGTTTCATTGCAACTTGAACCGAGTGCACATTTGGATGACATTGCCCGCAATCATGCTGAAGCCATGGGTGTCCCGGCGCGCATGTCTTGCAATCGTGTGCTATGTTCCTTGGCACAACTCGTCCCATGATGGCAATTGTTTCATTAGGAATGGCTTCGTGGCCCAGGCATCATTGGTTTGGACATTCTCATGCTTTTCTACAAGACGATCAGCCAGCGAATCTTGTCTAAGTTGTTTGCAGGTTTTAGCACATGTTCCCATCATGCCATCAGTTTGTTTCAGCATCCATCATTTGTGCTAAGGAGTGCGGCCGCACCTATCTTCAAGTGAGAATGCGTGAGCTAGAGCACATGCCGTTAAGGCAAGGTCTTCTCAACTTTTGTGTTGTTTGCCGAGGCATGAATGTTTCGATGTTTCTCTTGAACCTGTACCAGGGATCATGTGACAAGCAGGAGGGCCGTTATTGGTGGAGGGTGCTTGGGCAGCAATTTGCAGTTGGTAGTGTCAAGGCATCGATGTCGGCATGTCAATTTTGTTCTGCCGTTGACAACCATCTAGCCATTGCAGCTAAGGTTGTGTGGCGTTTTGGGACCTTCACCCAGCGTTGCAGCGGGCAAGAAGGTAGTTACGCTTGTGAGTGGTTGGTGTTGTGCTGCATTGGTCCACATGTTTCAGGATCCCAAAGCCCCAGATGAGTTAGCTGATCTTGATCGGCTGGGGTCGATGCTGGAAAAGAAGTGGGCAATGGTCCCAGCTCGGTTTGCATCCTCAAGTTTCTGCTTGCTCCCATTTTGGTGAGTTTTGCTTGGCGAATGCTTTTGTCGCCTGTCGTAAGGAGAAAGTGAAGCCCGCGTGCACCAGTGTTGGCAGCATAGGCTTGTCCCAAAACCTGCATGCTAACCTCTTCGGAACAAGCGCAAGCTCTGTCGGTCTGATAGTTTGTTGTGAGCGTTGCAGGCGTCAAAGCGGGGTATGGCGTGAGTAAGAAGGATCAATTGGAAAGTATCGTTGGGAGCTCTGCCAAGAAGTCAGTCCCCGCAAACAAGCCATTGACGACGCCTGATGACAGGTGAGGTGCGATGAGACGGCAGATTCCAAGCCCGAGAAGAGTGGTTCAGCAGAACGTTGATGTGATACCTTCGCAGCACGAGGAAGCATTGCTGAGTCTGAGCGAAGGGTTCAAAAGGACAAGCCTAGATGTTGTGCCCTTTCATTTGCAAGTGTGGCTTAGTCGTTGCAGATGCTTTCGCGCAGCTTTTGACCACGATACACGTTTACCATATCATTTGTCCCATTTGCCACCTGTTGTATCAATCATTGCGATCAAACGTGACGGGAGAAGAATGCATGACGCTCATTCCGCGTGACCATTCCAGCCTTTCATCTGATGAGGAAACAAGCCAATCTTGCAGTTAGAGTGCACATACCATGGGCACGCAAGCTTTGCCTGACACACTGTCTGGCAAACAGCTTTTCGACGGGCGTGCAATCAGTGCGGCTGAGGTGGATCTTGCACGTGCCAGTGCAACATGCGCTGGTGGCCGATATCGGTCCCCACTGCAGGCCGGCGATTGCCGTGCCTGGACGAGCACCTGCAAACGGGGGAATCCATTCCACTTTGATTTATGCCCGAACTTCACTGCCCGCATGGATGCGGAACGAAGCGCTGCTAGTGGCCGCCGGGCGGGCAACAGGAGGGCTGGATCGTGTGCTGCGAGGCTTCAAGGATCAGTCTGCTCAAGCGCCTTCAACGGCTCAACCCATTCAAAGCAGTGGGGTGGTGACGCAAGCATTTTGTATGGCCGGCGTAGATCTTCGTCTAGCAAGCTCGCTCTTCACAAGACAGGACTGCGCCTTGTTGGCAAATTTTGTTTCTTTTCATTTCGCTGGCCAATGGAAGGACAGCGTCCTGGCTGGTTGATGACTGCCTTCGAGAGTGCTGAGGTTGGTCATGACAGGATCTGCTAAGGGTACTTTGTGGCCCGGATAGTAAGATGACAGGCGTCGGAGCTGGGCGAAGCAATGCGAGTCCAGTGCTTACTGTACCTTTGGGATGCCATCTCATTGGCATAGTTGCGGTGGTAGCCACAACTAAGGCTCTCTTCAGCGCTTGCGACACATCGGCAGATGGACGAATAGACGTTGGAGAGTATGCATTGATCTCAGCGATGAAGACAAGGCAAATTCAAGGTCCATGCAGTCTACCGGTGGGCCATTGGTGTCGCACTTGTCATTCAATTTGTAGCATGGAGGAATGAAGCAGCTCAATTATCATCGGCTGTATGTTCAAATGGGCCCTCCCGAGGTTTTGGCTCAGATGCACCTGGCAGAAGCGCTTGGTGTCCGAAACCTAGACAGCCGCTTTGATTTCAGAGAAAAAATTGCTGTTGGCAAAGGAGAGTTTCGACAAGCGCGACGCCATCAAGCGCTTTTATTCCATGCAGAATGCCAGGTCCTCTTCATGTTTGCTTATTAAACCCTAAACCCTAAACCCTAAATCCTAAACCCTAAACCCTGAAGCCCTAAACCCTAACTGTAACATTGCGGCTCAGGCCTAGAATGCCTTGGTGAAAGGCTAGGTGATTCAAGTACTGGCATATGTTGGGGTCTGCGGACCTGATGATGAGTCGTAGTTTCCATTTTCTCTTCTATTATCCCTATATAACCCAATATATCCCCATATAACTCCTATATAATCCCCACGTAACCTCTATATAACCTATACTATCCCAAAATTATCCAATTTTTCAATTTTCTTTTTCATTATCCCTATATGCCCCTATATAATATAAGCCTTATATACTATAATCCCTATATATATATATATAATCCCAATATT